AGTGACCCAAAATAACCCACAGGCCCCATGGAGACCCACGGCCACCCACAATGGTCCATAGGACCCTATGGAACCCCATAGAACCCCAAAGCACCTCATAAAACCCCATAGTGCCCCATGGAACCCCACAGACCCCCCAGCGCCCCATAGCACCCCATAAGAACCCGCAGCACCCCATGGAGCCCCATAGCACCCCATAATAACCCATAGGACCCACAGCACCCCATGGAGCCCCATAGCACCCCATAGAACTCCATAATAACCCATAGGACCCACAGCACCCCATGGAACCCCATAGCACCCCATAATAACCCATAGGACCCACAGCACCCCATGGAATCCCATAGCACCCCATAGCACCCCATAATAACCCATAGGACCCACAGCACCCCATGGAACCCCATAGCACCCCATAATAACCCATAGGACCCACAGCACCCCAAGGAACCCCATAGCACCCCATAATAACCCATAGGACCCACAGCACCCCATAGACCCCATAGCACCCCATAATAACCCATAGGACCCACAGCACCCCATAGATCCCCATAGCACCCCATAGCACCCCATAATAACCCATAGGACCCATAGCACCCCATGGAACCCCATAGCACCCCATAATAACCCATAGGACCCACAGCACCCCATAGACCCCCATAGACCCCCAGAACCTGTAACACCTGAGCACGCCCCAGCACACCTGTGACACACCTGTGCACACCTGTGACACACCCGTGACACACCCGTGACACACCTGTGCACACCTGTCCCACACCTGTCCCCACCTGTGACACACCTCAGCACACCTGTGGCACACCTGAGAACACCTGTCCCCACCCGTGACACACCTGAGCACACCTGTGACACACCTGTCTCCACCTATGACACACCTCAGCACACCTGTGACACACCTGAGAACACCTGTGACACACCTTTCCCCACCCGTGACACACCTGTGATACACCTGTGACACACCTCAGCACACCTGTGACACACCTGTACCCCCTGTGACACACTCGTGACACACCTGAGTAGCCGGTGAGGTCCATGGCCCCATATCCCCCCTGTGGCACACCTGTGACACACCCGTGACACACCTGAGTAGCCGGTGAGGTCCATGGCGCGCAGGTTGGAGGCGCGGATGACGGTGACCGTGAGGCGCCCGGCCGTGGGCAGGTAACAGAGGGAGAAGTTCACCTCGCCCAGGTCGGCCTTCTCCTGCGGGTGAGACAGGTGGGACAGGTGAGACAGGTGGGACAGGTGAGGGACGGGTGGGACAGGTGAGGGACGGGTGGGAC